TGTTTGGTAAAATAAATAAATTAGTAAATTAAAAATAAATAAAAATTTAATTAGTTCTGTTTCGAGTATGATACTGTTGAAAGTTATTTGTTTTAAAATCGTTTATATTTTTTTGAACATATAACATATAACAAGGCTTCAAGAATATATTGACCAGATATGTCATAATATTTAATTCCTTAAACTTATTCCGTACCGACTCCCTTGGGGAAACACAACAAATACGACGAACAAACCGTTTGTGCAGCACAAATATTGATTGAACCTCTGCAGCAGCACCTCACAGTAGAATACCGTACGGCATAACGCTGTAAAAGTAGCTAGTTCAGTGCAATCTGTCGTGTTCAGTTGCTGCAACGATGCAATAGATCATTATATTATAAACAGTATCGGTCGATCTCTCACACTTGTAATTTACTATTGATTAACATACTACTAGAACTGAGTTTTCATTTGCGACCGTCATTATTCACAACAAATAAATACCGTATTGTCTTTGATTAACATAACTTTTATTCATTTAATAAAACACTATTTTGACCGGATTGAAGTTATGTATTATTATAAATTTACAACTATTTAACATAATTTTAAATTTATCCGACGTTTCGCGTGCTTTACAGCGTGCGTGGTCACGGTGACTGACAGTCACCTGTAACTAGTAAATAGTTGTAAATTTATAATAATACATAACTTCAATCCGGTCAAAATAGTGTTTTATTAAATAAATACCGTCTCATAATCGAGTCTAATTTAACAAATATACAGTAATATTTTTTTTTTCAATTATTAGTAATTAAATATACATATCAGTACTATTTTAATATACGCTGTCTACATTCCGACTGAGACTCGCTAAAATTCCTTAAAATATACACAAATTACAAACCAAGTCACGATATTAAATTATCTATTGAAATCTCCGTTTTAAGAATTTAAAGTAGGCACTACGCACTTGAAGTTTTATAAAAAATACACATGGTAATGTTGTTTTCATGCTTTAACTGTGATACGAAGTCAATACGTTTGAATGTATATGTTAGTCTAGACTCTAGAGGCTATCCGTACAAATCTCAACCCTGGAAGGCGCGTGAGTATCAAGCTATCACTGAATTCTGACAGATACAAAATTCTGGCCAAAAGAAAGCGTTAGTAGTTTATTGTTTATGGTGCGAGTGATACTGGAATGCCAATGCTTCTAACTGTAAAAGCACTTTTACTACATGAAGCCTTAATTAACTTTTGAGAGTTGGGATACAAATTGGAATAGTGCGGTCAAACATATTTTAGTTCATATATACGATACTTGGATCTTAGACAAAAGGAGGAGCCTCTTTAGCACTGGTGTCAGCGTGCAACTCTCATCCCTGAGGTCAAGAAAAGCCGTTCTTCTGAGCTGGTTGTGCACCAATGGACTTTTGGTCTATATTCGTATTCAATACTCGTACGTGCGTGGTTCTCATCGTCAGGAAACCGGCATACTTTAGACCCAAAAAGAGTAGACGGTGTAGGTAAGTCAGGCACAGAAGGCTGATCACCTCATCACCAATAAATAATCACGATACTCTCTCTACACTCACATTATAAAAATAGTTTTATTATGTAACGTATACTACGGTTCATGCGGTGTTTACAGTGTTTGGTCTATATGAAAGTAATTAATAGGTACTCCATAATCCACATTTTGTAACAAAAAACTGTTTATAGAAAAGTATAATGAAATTCGAAATTCTTAAAATATTGACTTAGTTTTGATTCCGGGGCAAAAGTCATATAAAGTTCACCAACTTATTTTACAGCAACGGTTTACTGAAATACATCTACTGCAAACAATTTGGACAACAATTAATGAACGTCGAAGTAAATGTGTGTTACATATTACATAAACAAAACAAAATTTATACGACAACAATAACTGACAAACTATCCGTGACTCAATAATCAGGCGCTAGGTTTAATAATGATACTATATCGTGGGTCCAGAATCTTCAGAATCTTCTCTCGAATTTTTTTTACGCCGGCTTTTTCTATCGGCCTACACCCTCTGTCTTCTTTGCCGATGAGTAGGGATGCCTACAAATTCAAATTTAATGACGTGGAATAAATGATACATGTGTCTTATGTTTATAAACATTTTTTTTTTTTTTTTTTTATTGAATACCTTAATTTGGTACTACAATACTATATTCAGTTACCTACAAAACGCTTCGCATTTGTTTTTAAATACACATATAACTGATAATAAATTACTTGAGTAAAGACACTTTCGTCTCTACGTGTAAAATTGTGTTTACGCGTGTGTGATGAAAAGATACCACGAGTACATTTGTTAAAAATACCAAAATACCACCCTCATATCACCTTGACGTCCGTCGTTCCACAACTGAGTTTTCTTAAGGCAGTTTAGCCGCGGACCACCACTGTGTGGAACCAGCTGCTCACTGAAGTATTTCCGAACCAATTCGACTTAGGGTCCTTCAAGAAAAAAGCGTACCAATTCTTTAAAGGCCGGCAACGCACTTGCGAGCCTGCCGCAATGTCCAGGCGGCGGTATCACTTAACATCAGGTGAGCCTCCTGCCCGTTTCGCTCCTATTACGTAAAAAAATCAGTGCAATTAGATTAGGAAACTTACATATTTTTTCTAAGCGACAACTCATCTGAAACATCTTTGTTTATTAAAGGAAATATGAAACATTTTACATAAGCGTAACGTTTTGAAATCAAACTTTACCTGTGAAAGTTCTAAAAGCTTGCAACTTAGCTTTGTTTGGCTTCTATATTGCAACAGTTATCACGTGCAAGATTACAAAATCTATTGAACGAATAGCGGTTTTGTACGATGTATTATTAAGTATCGAACAGCCAGGTGTAACTGATTATTATTTATAAGGTACTGGAAAAATTGCAAAATTCTATAGTTTTTGCAATACCAAACGTTATAAGGTTTAGTAAATACCATTTGATTTACTTTATAAATTATTAATCGATAATTAGAACAAGTTTATAGAATATTGTTACGCTGAATACGAATATGCGAGATCTTTGGTGACATTCAGCTGGGGTTGGTTAATGCGAATTATGTGCATAAAAGCTGTATGTAATATTAACCAAAATAATCTATGTAACAAACGCCGAAATGTCCAAGCCTTATTGACTGACATATATTTAAATAAATCAGTGTCTTTGTCAAACATTGAATCAATGATTTTAATTCTCAACTTACTTAACAGTATACTTTAAAAATTAGTTGTAAAACATCCTTTAAATATTTACGAGAATAAATGAACTATATTTGTATATTACTTTTAAGCCATTTTAATTTTTAAGATTTCCTTCACACAAAAAGGTTTGTCGACATCACAGGAGACCGAAGAGCTGGCAGCTACCTCGGACAAAGAATTAGTCTAGCTATTCAAAGGTGGAACGCTGCCAGTATCTTCGGAACCTTGCCTAAAGGGACTGCTTTTAATAAAATATTTTAATTATTATATTTAACGGTTAGTTATTGCTTTTACTATATTAATTTATGTTAGCAGTGTTATGTTATTTTCATTTAGTATATTAAAGTAATATATTTTCTTACACGTCATAAAAAAATAAAGGGTGTTTGCGAAGCTTTCTAAAATCTAAATGTACATATGTACACTTTTAATTTTTTCTTTACGTTTTATGTTTACTATAATTTTTCGCTTTCCATATGTTACTATCAGGCAACAACTAATATCTTGTAAAACACCTAACAGTCAGAAGTTCTGTGTTCGCGGCTCAAAAAAAGTATTACTAAGTGTAGATTAACTATGTATATGGTATAGCTTTTTACCTTCCGATAGGATATATTGTAATCTTCACAATTCCACTTTCAGAGTGAAGTGATAATATGTACTCCCGTTGACAAAAACGTATTAGATCTTGGCATACGGGTGTCATACTTAGCGCTATATCTAGACTCAGAGTCAAAATATAAACAAACATATGTTGAAGCTAAATGAACCACTCTGAAGATTATTATCTCCTAACAATATTATTTTTAATGTGAACGACGTTAACACGGTCTCAATGGCAAGTGTCATGTCCCCTCAGGCGTTTTATCAAGTTAATGAGACGGCCAAGCGACAAGGTCTATCTGACCCTTTCGTCCCTCGATTTCGATATTAATTAAACAGAATCTTGCTGTTTGATAGATTATCGGTATCATGCCTGATGTTATGCCTTTTGGTATATAGGCAAGTATTTTATACGTGACAATTCCTTGATTTCTATTTAATCATTCGTAAATGAGTATAGACTTGTGGTTCAATAGCGTTTATATTACAGACATGATATGTTTGATAATGGTTCACCAACGTTGGGAATCAACATAGTATGTATTTCTTTTTAATTTTTTAATTGAAGCTGATTAAAGGTTCAATGACCTTAAAACAAAACTAATGTTTATAATAATTATATTTAATTATAAAGGACTATTCACATGTAGTCTACCGTCCAATACAGTATTTTCTACTTATTATATTAAAATTGTCTGAAGGTATATAAACTAATTAAAGTGATCGGAAATAAAAGAAAGATTTTTCTACATATAATATTATATTCACAAAACTTAATTAAAAACTTAAGCCTATAACGAATTATTACGAATTAAGAATATTAAATATTCTTTCAAAAACTCTGACAATAATTAAAGCTTTTTTTATACATTACATATAATTTTAAAAGCAAAATATGAATGTACACATTGTTTATGTATTCTATTACACAAGCCTTAAAAATTGTGTGTCAAACTTGTTTAATAAAATACATATCGTTTAAAACAAATTTGAAGGCAACCTGTAGGCAAGTAACACAATTTTCGGTTCTGAATTTCCTAAGTACATGCCAATTAAATTAGGTATCGCGTGTTCTATGCACTGTTTGTTTAATATAATCACTAAGGTCACTAAATTACGATTATTGGCACTAAACTATCACAAGGTCATCACGCAACTTGAAACAATACACTATTTACAAGACCACTATCGCTGAAATCAACCCATTCTCATGATATGTCGCCGACGAAGCAGCCTCTCCATTGCGTAGAACACGCGATCTGACCCTCAGTAGGGGCAAATTACCCCTCCCCGCCCCGGGCACAGCGACTGCATCCGGGAAATGCACTCTACAAATTTCTTTGTAAGTTTTCCCTTGCCTCGGCCGTTCCGCGTGTCTATATCCATTGTACCCATTATTGTAACCATTATTGTACCCATAATTATAGCCATTATTTCCATACCCACTGTACCCATAAGATCGCCTACCATTCCCATTGATCGCGTCGTATATTGCGTCAAAGAAAGGCGCTGCCTCAATCGTCGCCAGCGCAGCTAGCAGAACGATCGCAACTATCATAGTTTTCATCGAAGGCATGACGGAAGGGTGCTCTAACAAGTAATTGTATCAATTCAGTTGACGGTCAATACGGCCTCTGAATGTCGGAAGCTCAGTACGGTGGTTAATACGCGAATGATACCGGGTGCCTCTCAGAGACCGCTTATATACCGTCCTCGGATCATCCGGAGATAAATATTGTGTACGCGCAGGGTTCACGGTTAGTTCCCGGGAATCGCGAAGTGTTTATCGAGTTTAGAAGGGTAAGTTTCGTAAGCGTGTTTTGACACAACAGGAAGGTGTGATAAGAAATGTGCTAAATTGTCCGCATAACGGTTACATTGAGGTCAAATTGTTATCAAATTTAAGTCGTTTCCGTGTCGCGCGCATAATGTACAAGATGTTTATTTTATAACAAAACATGCTTAAATCTAATTCGAGAATTTAATTATGTTTACAAGTAATTTTATTTAAATAAAAGTGTTTTTATTATACATTTTGTTCAAGTCTATCACGTATCAAGAGGGCAATTTCACAAGAGCGCAAACCAAGGTGTATCGGAGTCAAGTTCAGCGGCGGGTACGTTCAACTTTGGCCGTGAAAATCTGCTCACTTATATCTTTTTAAAACACTTTCTCAAACTTTTTATGTTATTCAACATGCTATTTTTGTAATTATCTCAATTGTTTATTATTTTTTATATAATTACGTAATCGCTATATTAAAAATAATTTAGGATTTATACTGTATATTAATTTTAACCATCTTAATAATTTGATTATATTCATACTCAATCATATAACAAAGAGATTAAGTATGAACTTTGTAGCTGTAATTAAAATTAATCGTGTTAATCAATGTTTACAGTATAATCTAGGCCAAGTTCGAGCTAGTTATGTTTGATAAGTTTCTTGGTACGACGAATAGGGACTTATCATTATAACTAGAGAAATAAGACCATATATCACTGACTAAGTTCTTGACACAGCTTGTCACGGAAAATCCAAATGAAGGTGTGAATTCCCTTAGTAAACGCATATTATTCTTTATTAGTATACAATAGACTTGCGTTCTAAATTAGTGAGTCATTTTTTTCCTGATTCTCATTAACTATAGACTTATGCATTTAGGGTACCCAATCACTAACTGAAGACTGAAGTAGTCCAGACCAGTCGATTGTACCGGTAGAGGGTTTTTTTAATAACAAGGCCAAACGGACAGGATGCTCATCTGATGTTAAGTAATACCTTCGCACTCACATCGCAAGTGCGTTGACGGCCTTAAAAAGGCCTGCTGTAGTGCCTGTTTCGGAGTCTTACTAAAATTCTTATGACACTCCCCCCCCATGTAACGTACATAATATTTAATATCTAAAATTAAATTTCTCACTTAAACTTCTCTTCTCTTCTGATCAGATTTTTTTATTCTGCTCTTTATTAGGAATTAGACAGTAAGTAGACTTAAAAACATATAGTGAAAAACTGAAATTCCAAATAATTATTTAAAAAATAATAAATTTTCGAATAGCCCTTTAACTATCAAATTGCCCCCTGTAGGGAGTGGACACCCCGTTTGGAAACACTGGTCTAGAGTATATAATGTAAAAAATCTTATTATAAAATTCGTTCGTCAACACAACAACATCATCTATCATAGAAAAATTGTAAATTCTTATTTTATATTGTTGTTACAAACGAATTGCTAAGTACAATAGTAACAATTTTTATCTTGTGGCTTTTCTATAGACCATAGATAGCTAAAGTTGTGGTTCATTTTCTTTGCGACCACAAACTATAAAATATCATCTACGTACACCAGTGTGTTAAGCACGGTACATATCGTTTAGGCAAACGTTTAGAGTCGACATCCCTCCGTCGCTCCGTGAAGACTACGAAGTGCCCAGATACCTTCTAAGCTTCTGAAAGGTTTGCTTAATCAGCCAGGACTTAACGCACAACGAACCAAATTGGCGTCTAAGCGCGGGAATTGATTGATACCACTACTAGATTCGACACTTCAGAAGCAATTCGTGTCACTGACATTTCAGAATCCGACGATAATAAATACTATTATAGAGATAGTTAGTGTTAAATAATTAATACAAATTTGAGACTTCTGTGAGTGCTTCATAATGACAGTATGACGGTAACAGCAGCGCCGCTCGTACGGCAATAAGTTTTAAATGTCGTTCCAATATGAATTACGCAGTGGTATTACTATAATATCAGAGCTAGATCAATTTGAAAATAGACTCGAAGTTTTTCATTACGTTGAAAATTTACTTACTGTACGTTAATAATTTCTTAGTGATTTATTCCTAAAACCTTTCATTTAAGTTTCTTAAGTGAACAATTAAATTTTTAATATTATAAAGTTATTAATGTTACGTATGGGACATAAGAATTTTAGAAACGCTAAGGCGGGCTAGATCTTAAACTTACATCACGTCATGATCGTAGAACAATGTCGGATACTTCTTATCATATTTGGATACTACATTGACTAAATATGACGGCTACATTAAAAAAAAATTGTTTTAAATTTCTAATTCGTTGTTGACGGATTTGTTGGCGGATCATTGATTTTTCTAGAAAACTGTGTAATTTAATTTTATTATTTTTATTTTGTTTCAAAAGAAACCCTTTTGTTTGCTTGTATGCCAATTTTCTTAATTACAGAATATGAATTGAAAAAGTTATGACAAAAAACTAACATTATTATATTATTTTGAAATGGCTGCCCTGTAAAGTTTTTGTCGGATCCGTCACTATTCTATGACTATAACGATATGTTTGTTAAATTGTCTAGTGTATTTCTAAAATATAATATTATAGTTCTGTTGTTTTACAAGCGATAAATGAGGTGACGTTAAAACGTAAATCGTAGATATACAGCTCATACTCGGCATGTAGTTGTAAAATATATTTTTAGAAATTACTCAAGAGTTGCACGAAAGATAAATCGCCTCATAGTATTTTATAATAGGCATTAAATTGCATTATAAATGTGAATTCCGCCAAGCAGTACAAATAGATTGCCTAAATGTCTTAACGTATATGGGCAAATTACGAAATTTAAGATCAAAAGTCCTTTTAGTATTGTATACTCGTATGTATATTTATTATGATCTTTATAGAGAACTTGAAAGGTAAAATTTCTAACTAAGGTAATGTGTTTCCATGAGTTTTTTTTGAGAAGCCAATAAAAGGCAGTTAGCGGATGCGTTGCCGACCTTTAAGGGAGGAGAGTATGTTCTCATTTTACACGATTGGAGTTACCTCCACCGAAAGTCGATTCCACAGTTCGCTAGTTAGCAAAAGAAAATGCCTAGCGTTTCTGACTTCCAGCAATCAAAGTGATGCGGATGAAATCTGGAGTCACCGGGTCGTACGGCGATGAAACGAGGCAGAAGGGATCATCCTTCTTCATCTTCAGAACACTCTCCAGCGTACACTTCGTAGATAACGCATAGAGACGGAATGTCTCTGCGTAGAAAGTATCACAGATTAATACATTGACAATTCGACGAGCCCTACGCTGAATTTGGCAAAAAGAAAGAAGCTGGTATTTGGGAGCACGGCCCTAAGATGTAACCAGTATTCCAGAGTCTTGTAGAACTGCGTAGAACTCGGCGAAATACATAATTATTGTTTACATTTTCGTCTACAAATTCAAAAAGCCTTATTAAATTAAATTTTAATATAATATGGGCGATATTACCATGGTTCCTAGAACTAGTTCGCTAGTGGAATCGACTCCCGGTGGGGGTCTTGCCTGAGAGATACGACCTCCAACTATTCAAAATTCGAGTGTATTCCTCCCTCAAAGGCCGGCAACGCACCCACTAAAAATGCGTGTCTATGGGCTTCGATGACTGTCCTTTTTGGGCGGCCCGCAGGCTCGTTTGCCCCCCTATTATATAAAAAAACCTTCACGAGGCTAATAAATACATAATTATATTATATATTCCTATGTTCAGGACTCACTCCATGACATTTGAAATGTCAGACAGGTCACAGGTTAGCGCTAAACTAAGTCACGTGACAATTGTGTCAATTGTCATGACAATGACATTCAAAACAATTTTTACGTCTAACGATTGCCTATATTGACAATTGTCATAAGAATATGTCATTCTTAAACTATAATTCAAAACTATTTTTACCTCTAACAATTGCCGTAGGACAGATAAATGCATTATGCAATTTATTATACAACCGAAAACTTTCAAGTACTTTATGTAATCAACACAATACACGGCTACCATGTTAACCTGAAATTAACACATTACTCTACTTTTACACCTGCTAAAATATGTAATAAAATTCTCAAACATAACTTATATAATGAAAAGGACGCAAGTTAGTAATTCTGATTTGCCAAACTTGAATAAAGTTACTAAATAAATTCGATAATAAAAATCTGAAGGTCAATAACCTTGGATCGGTGAATAGTTCGATCCCTTAAGGCTTAAACATAGCATAGACAATTTTTTTATAGAATTTGTCTTTATTGCAGAAACGTTTTTTTACGTTGGGTGTGTTATAAATTTACAAAAGACTATATTGCGCTGCAATTGTGGTAAATGATATCCTTATTGACCTTCAAAAATAATATTTTACTTATTAGAAACCTAACCACCTCTTTAACAGGAAATCCAATACCAATTTATTACTATAATTATTCATTGTTATTTCCTATTAAACAATAAATATTATAAATAACTAAGGACGTTCTAGTAAGAAAAATTAATTAATAATGTATTTACTATATGGATATTACTATAATATATTATAATGGTACGGGGCTCCATATAATAACAAAACTAGGGGGCATACGGTAAGCTATTTAGTGTTATGAATTTGTATTCTTCATACAGTCTAATAACAATATATTTATGACAAAAAATCCCCGAGATCGGTACCATGCATGCATAATTAAGATTTAAACGTACAAAGAACTTGTGACTAATTTTTCCGTGCAGTGACTGGTAAAAGGATGATCTGTTTTTGACGATTTATAATAATTCTTAGAAATAG